CCCGCGCCTCTCCACTAGCCCGTCCCGACTGTGGACGACCTTCCAGCGTGTCGGAACACACTTCAGGCTTACTGCGTAAATGGGCTTGCCCACTTGTTTCCTGGGCGGCCTTAAAACCATAGTTCAGATTCTCCTTCAAGAGCAGCACACCGGAAGGCCGGCTTAGGACTCGCCCACAAAACACCGAGGCGGCCCCAAGTGCCGGAAAACAAATGCTTCTCTCAGTGCTGCAAATCAGACAGCTGCTTCCGTTTGGGAGACACTGGCCAGACAAACACCTGGCAGCGCGAGCAGTGGCAGCCTTCAGACGCCCTCGGCGTGAAACCCGCCAGGGTAGACGGCCCACCGTCCCTAAGTCCAGGAAGGACGAATGTTTTCCTGAAGTGATCAATACTGGCCTGGTCTCCATCCGCCCTGTGCTCTTCCTGCTACGTTTCAGCTCAGCTCTGCAGTTAGGGGCGTGGGCTTGCTCAGGGCCCGCTCGCTCGTCAACAAGGGGGCCAGTTTGCCCAGATGACGGAGCCACTGCCCAGCTCGGAAGCCGGAGGCTGATGGAGCCCAGGGCCACCCCAGCCTCTGTCTGATCTCGCTGTGTGCCGGGTGCCTGCTCTGTTGGGACGCTGGACCCGACTAGCTGGGTTCCCCAGGCGGGGCAGGCGTGGGGAAAACGTTAGGAGAAGCAGTCAAAACATGAATATTTTGCTCACGTTAGGGCCTCAAAAGCTCTCAACTGATCCAAGATGGGGACCCCTGTTTGCGTTTCAGAGCTCATTTGGATCAGCTTGAGGGGAGGGGATCTTGAGTGCATTCCTCCACCGAGGCTTCTTAAGGCCTTTTCATCTCTAAAGAGCCGGCTGAGGTTTTAGTAAATGCTTCTCGGCGCTCCACCCAGCCCCCCTCCCCGCTTTTTGTGTGTCAGAAGTGGGAGCCCTGCCAGGCAGGCTGGCTCCCCGGCCACCCAACGCTGCAGATGTCCTCTCAACCGTGCTCCTGTGCTGTGTTCGCTTTCCAGCCCATCTTTGGAGTCCAGCAACAAGTGGTGCGGCAGGCCAAGGCCTTCCTGTCCCTGGGGAAGATGGCCGAGGTCCAGGTGAGCCGGCGCCGGGGCGGCGGCGCGCAGTCGTGGCTGTGGTTCGCCACGGTCAAGTCGCTGATCGGCAAGGGCGTGATGCTGGCCGTCAGCCAGGGCCGCGTGCAGACCAACGTGCTCAACATCGCCAACGAGGACTGCATCAAGGTGGCCGCCGTGCTCAACAACGCCTTCTACCTGGAGAACCTGCACTTCACCATCGAGGGCAAGGACACGCACTACTTCATCAAGACCACCACGCCCGAGAGCGACCTGGGCACGCTGCGGCTGACCAGCGGCCGCAAGGCCCTGGAGAACGGCATCAACGTGACCGTGTCGCAGTCCACCACGGTGGTCAACGGCAGGACTCGCAGGTTCGCCGACGTGGAGATGCAGTTCGGCGCGCTGGCGCTGCACGTGCGCTACGGCATGACCCTGGACGAGGAGAAGGCGCGCATCCTGGAGCAGGCGCGCCAGCGCGCGCTCGCCCGGGCCTG